TAGTTTGGCGATTATGTCAGTTGTTGTTGCTTTTGTTATTGTTATTGCTGTGTTGTTATTGTTGTTTTTGTTGATGTTGTTGTTGTGGTTGTCGTCGTTGTTGTTGATGTTGTCGTTGTTGTTGTTGTTGTCGTTGTTGATGTTGTTGTTGTCGTTGTAGAATTTTGATTTATAGCTATAATTGCAGTATTAAAAGTTGTAGGATTTCTTGTAAAATGTATAACTGATTTTGGTAAGAGTACAGTAAGAAATGGCAGTATTATTTACAATTTAGTTAGTATCATTGATTGTTGCAGCGATTTTTTTAGACAAATTTTTCTAAACAATAACGAAATAGTTAACTTGATAAGAAGCATAATACGGAATGTATTTGATATATATATATATATATATATATATATATATATATAGTATATTAGTTCTAAATATATATATATATATATATATATAGTAATAATATATATATATATATATATATATGTTGCATATATACAATGTACATAATAAAAAAATTATGTTATAAAAATATAATTAGTTTAGTCTATAAAATGTATAATATACATATATATATATATCTATATCTTTATCTATTCATCTATATATTTTATTTTATTTATAGGCTTTTTTCAAATTTTTTCAAATGCTAGAAACACAAATTAACTCGGACATTTGTTTAAAATGTTTTAAAACACATCAAAATAGAATTAATTGACTGTAGTTTTGTACAATGTAGTTAAGTATCCAGAGTAGCATATTTAAATACATGCCCCAATAGTATCTGAATACTTTATGAGGTATCTCAAACAATCATTTTGAATTGCAATATTTTGACAGTATTGAATTATACTAAGTAAGAGATTTAATTTAATTTAATTGACAAAAAAGTTGCTTAGTGATTATTATTACAGTATATATTATAGTGATTTATTACGTAACAGACTTTATTTTTTTGACAAAAAAGTTGCTTTATCAGTTGTCTATTTTCATTTGGGCAGGGCTAACTTTGCACCAATCTACTTACTTAATGATCACAATGGAAATATTGTAATTAATTAACTGATACCGTAAATTTCTCGTGTTGATAGTGTATCAAAGTTGTATCAAACGATGACTGTATGGTGTTTAAACCATTCCTGAACTGCTAGAAGACAGTATTTAGATAGCGGGGGTTTGATATTTAAATACCATTCAAATACTAAATATTGACCAAATATTTGCAAAGAATTTAAATATTTGGCAATTTGAGTATTTTAACAACTCTGGTTACATGTATGTACATGCACTTCTTGTACATATGTATATATTTAACGCACACACACACAAACCACACACACACACACACACTCTCACACACACACACATCACATATATACAATATCAACTTACTGATTTCTATACCCCCAGTTACATTTGTTTATTTATATATATCTATACAAACCAATATGCAAATTTTAAAACAGCAACAAAAATTCTCCAAGAAAATGATTAAAAAATTCAGTCTATGACAGTAATCAGAGCAGTGGTTAGGGTAGGAGTGATGCCCCACCATACTGACAGGCGGACATGGGCGTCTGCCTCGAGGTCATGACCATTGACGAGGCGTAAGGGAAAGCTGAAGTTGTAGCGTGCTGCTTGGCTTTCAACCGCAAAGCTGCTAAGCTACTGCTGCTGCTGTTGTTGCTGTTGTTGTTGTTTAAGCTACTGGCAAGTGGGCTGTTGTTGTTGTTGTTGTTTAGGTTGTTTAGGTTGGATGCTAATGAAACGCCGTTGCTAGTGCCACTCGTGTAATCTCTCATGCTGGCGTACGCTGCTAAGTAGGATCTCGGGTGATTTGTTGACGTTGAGTAGGGGCTCGGAGGGCTGGCCGCAGACCCCAGAACTCCACTCCCTCCTGTCAGACCGGACATGAGTGGGTGGTTAGTTGAAGCTGTGAAGCACATTTGCTGTGGTATGTTGACGCAGGCTGCCGAAGAGAGATGGTGAGATGAGGTGAGAGAGTTGAGTGGGTGGGTGTTCCACGGGAGGATGTTCTTCGGTGTGGGGGGAGTCAGCTTGGGCTCCCAGCTGTTGTAGGGCGAGTAGTTGTAGCTAGCAGCGGCGTACAACGCTCCACTGTCAAATGGCTGCATGAAGCTGTTGAACTGCGGACCGAAGCCGTTCTTCAGCGTTTCCAGGTTGCGTTCCTTCTTGCGCCATTTCGCTCGTCTGTTCTTGAACCAGACCTGGGTGGGATCAATTTTATTCAAATGATTTATTGGGAGTGCAAATTTCATTTGTATGGTTGAGTGAGTTGCAGGGAACGATCCTAGCCTGTCTGCCGCTTAAATAAAATTGTTTATATGGGTGATTGATTGAGAAGTTGTTAAGTGAAGATGTTAACCAACATCGGAGTGGATCAGTAAGGGATGATTTATAAAATTGAGTTGTACAAATACAATGTGGCAATGTCAAAAAGGTTCTTTAACAAACGAAAAAAGAACAAATTAAACCAATTTTCGACTCTGAACCAAACATAAACAAATAAAAATCAACCAAAAATGCTTACGTGTAAAGAAAATTAATCTTACTTTTTCCCGCGACTAACTATTGCAAACAAAATAATCGTTATACGTGAATATACAAACACATACAAAAATATACAAACGTACACACACATACAAACATCTACATACAAACATAATAAACAAGCGCAAACAAACATACGCAAACAAACATATACAAACTAATACAAACATATATATAAAAACATATATAAAAATATACAAAGTTGTACAAACATACACATACAAACTAATGCCTATGTATACAATTATACACATACAAACATGTACAAACTAATACAGATGTATACAAACATACACATACAAACATACATATACAACAAACAAATACAAACTAATGCATATGTATACAAACATACACATGCAAACATATACAAACTAATGCGTATTTATACAAACATACACATACAAACATATACAAACTAATGCATATGTACACAAACATACACATACAAACATATACAAACATATACAAACTGATGCATATGTATACAAACAGACACATGCAAACATATACAAACTAATGCGTATTTATACAAACATACACATACAAACATATACAAACTAATGCATATGTACACAAACATACACATACAAACATATACAAACTAATGCATATGTATACAAACAGACGCATGCAAACATATACACAAATATACAAAGTTATACAAACATATACACAAACGGACCACGCATGCAACTTAATCCTGCAATGATTGGAAGCTAATCTATGCGACCAGCCATGTGTGTGTGTTTTATTATTGGTCGTTGTTGTTGTTGTTTGTTGCTAAAGTTAAAAATATCAGTAGTAGTAGCAGCGTTAAAAGTAGCAGCAGTATTAGTAGCAGCAGAAGTAGTGGTAGTAAAACACGTAGTAGTAGTAGTAGTAATAGTAGTAGTAGTAGTAGTAGTAGTAGTAGTAGTAGTTGTAGTTGTAGTAGTGGTGGTAGTAAAACATGTAGTAGTAGTAATAGTAGT